GAGTTATGATGGAAAATAAGCCCCCAAATTTTAATAATTTAGCTAAATTATCAACTAATTAGTGATTTGGCAGAAATAGATAAAATGTGCATATTTCAAAACTTTGCCTAATACTTAGAGCTGTCTGCATACCCTTTCTGTAAATACAATGCTACATGGCACAACCTCCAGCTGTGAAAAATCTGCCACAGGGGCTAATTTGCTGTAGCACCTTACTTTCATTATTACCCTTTAGTGTATGGATCTTCTTTCTTTAAAGAAATTCAGGCCGTGATTAAAATATGACAAAAAAGAAAATAAAGAGACATATATTTGGTCTCCATTCATTCTCTTGAATTGTTAAGACCCAGTACTTTTGTGTCAATATGCCAGCTCTTGTTCCTTTTGTAATAATTTATATTTAGTTAAAGTTAATGTTTCCCAACACTATAGTATGACATTTCCAAACACACAGGAAAGTTGAAAGATGTTCACAGTAATCAACTGTGCTCATCGCCTAGAGTCTACCATTAACATATTCCTATACTTGCTTTGTCATATATCTATCCATTGACCCACCCCTCTAATCACCTTATTTTCTGGTACATTGAAAAGAATTAAGGTTAGTTTTAATGATATTTTAAAGAAAGTAATTCTCAGCAAGGATATGATTGCACTGAGTAGCCGTGAGCCCACTGGTTAAGAGCATAGACTGTGACTTGTCCAAGAGCTCGCACAAAGCCTGCCTTTGCCATTAGGTGTGTGACTGTGGACAGGTCATCCTTCAAGGTGCCAAATGAGCAAGCTCCAGGAGTTGGTGATGGACAGGGAAGCCTGACATGCTGCAGTCCATGGGGTCGCACAGAGTCGGACACGGCTGAGTGACTGAACTGACTGAATCTCGGACAGATCACAGCATACTCAGAGCCTCGTTTGGCACCTTGCAGGATGACCGCCATGGTTTTTTTTTTTTTTAATGAAAATTCAACACAATAGATGAAAAGTGATTACACTCTACTGTGACAAAGAATTTGTGATGACTTTTTTCTACTCATCTCTAATCCTGTGAGATCAAGGACTCTGTTTCCTTTGCCATTACATTAGCAGCCTCGTGCACAGTGCCTTGTGAATAGCAGATGTGGAATATATCCTTGTTGATATGAATTGGGTTGAACTTCAGATGTTTTCCCTCCTAGTACGTAGCAAGTACTTATTAGTGGAGCGGGGCAAGTGCAGTGGCTTCAAAGGCATGGGGCATAAGAAAGTTAGTTGAGAAATGAGCTGGAAGCAGGGGATGAGACCAAGAGAGAAAACCTAGCCTGCAAAGCAGAAGTGTTTATGGCAAGTTCAGTGATGGAGCAGAATTCATCAGTGCCCAGACCCAGCCCCTTGGACTTCACCTTGGATCCCACCCTTTCAGTGCACACTGGCAGACTGCGATGCCTAAAGGCTCTCCTCCAGGTTTCAGCAGCCCACTGCCTGTGCAGTGCATGGGGCATGGCAGAGGTGCTGAGGAAGTCACCCCTCTGGGAGCAGCCCTGGGCCAGACTGATAGGGTTGGTACAGATCCCCAGCTCCCTCCCTCACAGACAGGATGACCCGGAGTGTGCTTTAGGTGGTTTCCTAGCCTTTCTCCGTGGGACTACAGCCCAGTCCACCGTAGCGGCAAACAGGCCTCTCGGCTGGCCGCTTTCGCTTACCCGCTTCACTCCTTCACTCCCTCACCTGTATGGCTGCTGCTGCTGCTGTTTAGTCGCTCAGTCGTGTCTGACTCCTGCAACCCCAAGGACTGTAGCCCGCCAGGTTCCTCTGTCCATGGGATTTCCCAGGCAAGAATACCAGGATGGGTCGCCATTTATTTCTCCAGGGGACCTTCCCAGCCCAGGGATCAAACCCATGTTTCCTGCTTGGCAGGTGGACTCTCTTACCACGGGGCCACCTGGGAGGTCCTTACCATTACTGGTACACCAAAGACTTGCATTTGAATTCCTGTCTGAGGGGGCCCAGAGTAATACAACTGCCTCTATACTTTATGCCCACAGAATCTCTTCTTCAAATGGCATTCTACACTAAAATCTGATATATAGTATTTATAAGGTAAGAGCTGCCTGGCTTGCAGAGTTTGGGTGGATGGGAGCGGTGATGTGTGGAGGCCAGAGCCCAGCCTCTCCTGTCTCCTGTCCCTTCTCCCAGCCTGCCCAGTACTTGTGAAGACTCCCACACCCTCCCACAGCTCCACAGAGCCTTGCTCATCAGCTGTTGGTGGAACTGATTAGGATATGATACAAGATATAAAGAAAAAAGCAAGAGGAATGAATAAAAACAAGCAGACACAGAGAGGAAAACATGTTCCTTCAAAGGCCTAAGAAGCATGGACAAATACATAATTTTTGCAAAGCGGTGCAGTTATTGTGTAAAAGCCATCTGGAGGCCTGGGAGGCTTTCACACCATTACGATGTTACTAGACGCCGGCACTTGGAAAAGCTGCTGTGTGTAGAGAATCCAGGTTGAAAGCCCACATGGGCAGAAACATAGGGGCTGAGGAGAGATGTCTTTGGCTAGAAAAACAAATAGTGTTTTGAGGCTGTAATAAGTAAGAAACCATGCAGAAGAATGTCCTTAACTGTATATTCATTGATCTCAAAGAAACGGTCTTGTGAAAACTCCCTAAATATACTCAGGAGGATGAATGTATGTGGTTGAAGCAAGCTTTAGGATGACCGCAAAAAATTTATTGTCTAAAGCTGCACAGGTTTAAGGGGATAGGTGGTGTTAGTAATAATTGTGCCAGAACAACCAAGTTTTCAGACAACTGAGATGTGAAAATTCACCCTTGTAAACTATTTAATGCTATAATAAACTAACTGAAATTCCACTACTGAAAGTATTACAGTATAGCGGTAGGCAGAGGAGGAGAAAGTATTTTATACTGGACCTCCATAAACTTGAGTGTGCATAACTGAATCACTTGGAAGGTAAGAAAAAACAGGTTCCTGGTTCCATCCCAAGAGTTTCTGGTTCCATGGTGCTGTGGTGGGATGGGAGAAAAGGCAGGCTGAGCAAGCAGCCAGGTGAGGCTGTGCTGCGGTCCACAGCTCTTGAAGTAGGACTAGGTTTAGCCTTCAAGAGCTATGGACCAGCAGCACCAGCCTCATCTGGCTGCTTGCTCGACGTGGCTTCTCTCCCATCCCACCACAGCACGGGTTGAAAATACTAAGTGTACGTGAAGAAAACCTACAGGACAAGGATGAAACTTGTGTCTCAAACTATCTGGGGGCAGAAACTTTCAGATTTGAGGACTCTGGCCCATTGGTTTCAGGGAAATCTCACAAAGGCCACCACAGAGGCTTGTGTTGCCCAAAGGGTCAGCGCTCACCAGCCCTATCACTGCCCACTTGCAACAGCTCTGCTTCCCTTTGCATCATATCCTGGAAACCTGGGAAGATTTTGCTTAAAGAAAGACATATTTGGCACAGTGGTAGTTTAAATCATAAGCATGGTTATTATCAGGATATTGAATTATTCATGCTTCTAGTTTACAATAGAAATAGATTTCTAATAACTTAAGCCACCCCAAACTCTTGCGTAAGTCACTATGAAACCTTCCTCTTGGCTGTTTCTCTGTGTCCACGCCTCCCTACATCCTGCTCCCACAGATCATTCCAAACAAGGCAGCCAGAGGGAGCAAAATATACAGACGCACACACACCTGGGAGAGTTTCCAGTGGTTTCCGGCTGCATGCACAATGAAAACCTACTCATGACCATAGTCTCCAAGGCCCACATGACAGGCCGACTTCTCTGACTTCAACTTGCATCACTCTTCCCCTTGATTACTACATTGCAGTTAACCAGACATATCTGCTCCTCAGATACACCTCATTCTTTCCCACCTCCATATTGCTTCTATTCAACAAATCACAGCACCAGCTACTCAGATCATCCACTCGACTAACCACCACTGTTCCAATTCCAAGGTCCCTGAAAAATATGAACCAGTCAAAATTTGATTCTCTGTGTCAGTTTTCCCGAGGGGACAGAATGTGTTGACCAGGCAGCATCAGTATTTCTGCCTATTTAGCAGTAAATATTTCTTCATGGAAAAGTGGTTGCTTTGATTCATTCAATGGTGTTTCCTAGATCTGATTCAGTTCAGTTCAGTTGCTCAGTTGTGTCCCACTATTTGCGACCCCATGAACCGCAGCATGCCAGGCCTCCCTGTCCATCACCAATTCCCGGAGTCCATCCAAACCCATGTCAATTGAGTCAGTGATGCCATCTAACCATCTCATTCTCTGTCATCCCCTTCTCCTCCTGCTTTCAATCTTTCCCAGCATCAGGGTCTTTTCCAAGGAGTCAGCTCTTCGCATCAGGTGGCCAAAGTATTGGAGTTTCAGCTTCAACATCAGTCCTTCCAATGAATATTCAGGACTGATTTCCTTTAGGATGGACTGGTTGGATCTCCTTATAGTCCAAGGGACTCTCAAGAGTCTTCTCCAACACCACAGTTCAAAAGCATCAATTCTTCTGTGCTCAGCTTTCTTTATAGTTATAACTAGATCTGGTTAGTGTGGTTTAATTGCTTTGATATGATTTTGTTTTTAGAGAGCTGCCCCAAGGGTGTTCCTAGACCTACACATTTGAAAACTAGAATCTAAATTAAATGACACATATCATCATACTGCTATACTAAGGGGACTTATCTGGCTGACGGCCTGGACATTGTATACAAAAGCAGCGAGTCTATTTCTTAACCAATGACACCCTCATGTCACAACTATTGCGTCTTTATCTACCATGTTGATCTTCAAATCATGACATTCAAAGGTGTTACCTTTTTTTTAAAATCCCCTTTTCATGACCTTTTGACATTCTTTTCTTGGCAAAACCCTTTGGCCTCTGACCATAGAGGAACTGAGGCCAACTCCCGGGGTTGCTAAGCCTGTCAGAGTCAGCTTGCCTCATGTATGCTCATCTCATAATAAAAACATGCTTTGGCATTTGTCTTTGTCTGACTTACCTTGCCAACATCTCTCGGGAAAGGCTGTCTCTGATTCTCTGGAATTAAAATGGGAGATACCACAATGGACCTCTTTTGTCTTGGGACAGGAGAAGTTCTTGCAAATTTAAATATATCCTAAAAGAGAAAAAACAAATCAATTGACTAAAATCCCCCAAGGAGAAGATGTATCAGTCTGCTCTGAGATATGGCTCCTTTGTTGTGAAAGCATACAGCTGTTTGGACATTGTTAATTTTATTCTATCAAACCTCATTAGCGTTAGCAAGTACATCGTTAGAATTATACTAAAGCTGACATTGTAATTCACAATGACTATCATTAAGCTATTTAATCCCATCTTCTGAATCATTCTATTCAGAATGTCAGTCTTGATTTATACATCCTTCAGTGCTGTGTACTCCCGTTCTTAACCTGCTAAGTTAGGAGATTACTTGCTTGGTCACTAACCCACAGAACTCTTGCTGGATACAAAAGTGACTCTCCTCATGGTCAACTGTGTGGTCCTCACATTCACAATTGAAAAGGGATGAAGAGCAATCTCAACGTCCAAACTGTGTCCAGCATTATGGAGAATCTTAGTCAATGTTCTTTCAAAGGCCATTTGTTTTGATTAGTGGGTCTACTGCTGGAACTTATGTCCCACACAGTATGTCCCAAATTTCAATCATTGGAACAACACTGTGAGAATTTCTGGTCTATCTGTAATTCACCTTTTAAATTAAATAAATTGCTGCAAAAAAGGAACCTGTGTCATTATTTTAAATACACTAATAATATGGCTTCTCATAAAAAATAGGAAAACATAAAAATAAACATTGAGACCAATGATGTTATAAAATTTGAGCTGGAAACTTAGGTGGGTGTAAAGTTTCCTTTCTTATTGAAAGAGAGATAAGAAAAGGCTGCTGCTGCTGCTGCTTCTAAGCCGCTTCAGTTGTGTCTGACTCTGTGCGACCCCATAGATGGCAGCCCACCAGGCTCCGCCCTCCCTGGGATTCTCCAGGCAAGAACACTGGAGTGGGTTGTTATTTCCTTCTCCAATGCATGAAAGTGAAAAATGAAAGTGAAAGGCTAGACGGGTGTTAAAAGGTTATCACTAAAAGTAAGCATCTAAGTTAGTACCAAAAGTAAGCACCTCAAACTTCAGATAATAGATTCCTATGAAAATCATGTGGCAAATGATATTTAAATACCATCATTGACCCATGCTCCATAAAATGTGTGTGCATCTATATGTATATATCATATGACAGTGATATATATACACATAAGTATACACACACACACACACACATATTTGTAATAGTTGTAAAGGAAAGTCTATATAAGAAAAGTCAAATAGAAAACAAGACCAGCAAAGGCTATGAAAGCTTCTATAAAGTCTTTCTCTTGATTTTGTTTGGAGTATGCTGCTGCTGCTGCTAAGTTGCTTCAGTTGTGTCTGACTCTGTGCGACCCACAGACAGCAGCCCACCAGGCTCCCCTGTCACTGGGATTCTCCAGGCAAGAACACTGGAGTGGGTTGATGTTTCCTCTCCAATGCATGAAAGTGAAAAGTGAAAGTGAAGTCACTCCATCGTGTCCGATTCCTAGCAACCCCATGGACTGCAGCCTACCAGGCTCCTCTGTCCATGGAATTTTCCAGGCAAGAGTACTGGAGCGGTCCCACTGCCTTCCCCATGTGTGGAGTATAAACTGATGTTCTTATAGAAAGTAACCAGGCAGTATTTATCAAGAACCTTACAGATGTACATATCCCCTCACTGCACACTCTACGTGCTCTATCTACAGTCTAAAATTTCACTCCTAGGAATACATCCAAACGCTAACTTCAAAAGAGGAAAAATAAAAAACTGAAAGCAGGAAAATGTTTAGTGAGACATTGATAAAGAGAAACAGTGGCAAACCTCTTGAATGCTCAGTATTAGGATAAGGTTAAATTTGAGCCCATCAGCAGGAGACACTCCTAGGTGGTCATGATAAGGCAGTTGTGAAGACATGTTCTAACCACTGTGATCATCATTTGATTGCCTCCACAATCACAACCACAAACTACTCTCATAACAACAGTCCATTAAACATGTGTTGGACCATGTGCTAGCACTTTACATGTGACTTTGCTGATATTTGTAATAAATTTCCCAAGTAACTCTTAGTTCTCCTTAACCACTGAGGAATGTCAAGTTCCGAGAGGTTATATAAATTGCTCCAATTCACCTAGCCAGCAGATAGACTATGTAAGTAACATGTGTAGGAAAATATATCTACCATATAGGTTGCCCTCTAATTTATATAAGCTATACTGAACATAGAAGAATAATATTCAAAACCTCAGTGAATAAGTCCAAATAAAAGACTGCTTGATTTCTAAGGTGATCAAAGACTCAATTCAAGCAAAGACAGAAAACTGGAGCATGCATACATAAAAGACAGCAAAAAGAGTCAGAAGGGTTAAAACAACAAAAACCTAACTGACACACCAACTAAATAAATAAATAAGTAATCCAACCCAACCATGCAGAAAACAGCAGAGGAAGAGAGAGAGAATGGGACACTGAAAAGGTAATGAAAAACAAACTGGATTGTATTCATAAAACATTGATATATAACATCTATAAAGATTCCGTAGGCTTATTAGGGAATAGGAAAAGAACAGAAAACATGTAAAATAATGCAAAATATGTGCAATATATGACTCTTATTTACAATAAAAAATCTTGAGGTTCATATGAAAGAAAGCCTAGGAAAGTACTTGGAAAAGATTTAAAGTCCTATACAAATGTAGGGAATTAGTGATTCTGCTCTATAATAGAGCAAAGTAAGTTTCCATTATGACGATATGTGAAAATGTATCTAAAGGAATGAAAAGCATACTCACTGTCAGCAACAAACCTTCCCTTGTTTACCATAAAGAACTCATTTTTGTTTGTGAGCCTGTGAATGGTGGTACTTTTGCCCTGCTGGGTGACCAGAGTGGTCAGGTTCCCACATCTGGTGTCCTCCCAGCTCGCCAGCTACTGAAGCCTGCTGCAGCTGCCAGTTCATCTCCTCAACTCTCACATCCTGGCAGCTTGGTAGTAATAACGGTGTGAACCCCTGGGCCTAAAGTGCCTTTGAAGAGAAGCAGGAGGCTGAGTCTCAGGTTAGGAACAGCTTCTGGAAGGGAGGGGGCTGGGGAGGGACCCACTGATTACAGAGAGGCCTCCATATGCGCTGGACTCCCTGAGCCCACTGTAGTACGCAGAGCATCCTTTTTCTTCCAACTCTTAATTTATTTGCCTTACAATGGCAGGGACTGCAACAACAACAAAATAAAACTGGTCCATGACTGTGGTTTCACCTCTGCATTTGTGATTTATGGATATATCTATCTGTCTTTGTGATTTATGCATGTATCTATTAACTCTATGTTGTCGACAAATGTTCACCTTTGGTCAGGTCTGTGCTGATGAGTTTGTCTATGTGCTCTGAAGGCAAGTGATTCTCTGTGACTGGGACCATGGAGGAGCCATAGCATCTGATTTGACTGACAATCAAAATACCATAGGCATATCTAGGCTCACATGTGTGTGTTGTATTTGTCAATCCATTGTGTGAAGCCTTTGAATGCACCATGATGTGGCCATAACCTCAAGGAAAGACAAGATAGAAGCAGTGAAGTTTAAAAGTACGTGACTAATTCAAGAGATGTTTACAGAAGAAGACAGAAGTGTGGGAAAGGAGAGAACGCTAGGGTAAAGAAGAGGCTGTTATAACTCCCTGTCCTCTGGTGTTGCTGTTACCAAGTGAAGAGCAGAACACTGCCTGCTACATCAGGAAACAAAGGCTCTAGCCAGTGTATTATGGTCCCCTGGATGGAACAGCATGGGTAAAACTCAGGGCAAGAAAACACAGGACACTGGCCCCAACGGCAGAGGTGCATTTCAAAGGAATGATTTCAGTGAGCCCATTTCTATGCATATTCTCATACACAGAAAAGCACTAAATTTCTTAACTCGAGATGTCTACTTTTCTTTTATTAAGAGCAACCTTTTGTTCTAGCTATCTGGTGCTGTTGCAAAGACTCCTCTATATCTTGGCTTCCCTCCAAACAGTTTTCTCAGCCTTGACATGAGATGCTGTCTCTTGGGCTTGAAGTCCTAAGAATATCCACCATACAAAGCATACCTCTCCACTTTTAGGTTGTGCCTCTTTTTTTATGTCAGCCGACACAAGATAGAGGATAAAGAGGCAAAAGGCAGTTCTGGGCACAGATGCTGGGTGCTGGTGACTTGTTGACTTTGAGAGTATCCAACATAGATTCCTAGAGGCTGTATAAACATCAATGGTTGCATTCAGGAGGGAAGGATGAACGAGGACCAGAAAAGTTACAGTCGCCCATGAACGAGAGTGACTAGATGTGAAGGAGGAGCTGACACTCTCCAGATCATGTGGAGAGGGGAAAGGGAGGGACTCAATCATTCAGTGGATCTCTAAAAGGCCAGCACAGGCCACAGAAAGGCTAGTTGGAAAAAGAGGGAGTGCACCGCCATGTTACACAATGCAGACCTCCTGTCCAGCAGGCTGAATGCTGTAAGAGGGCCGCTGGGTTTGACGATGAGCAGGTAATTGGTGACTTTAGGAAGAGCAACTTTTAACAGTGTTAAACAGGGTCCAGTGTCAGAGGAATCAAGGATTGTGGCATCGACGGAAAGGAAAGAAACGGGAAGAAGTTGGCCAGTACAAGGGGAGACCGGGAAGGGGGCTGGACTGAGAGGTGGGGTGAGAGGAAGGAATGGTGAATGGAGAGGAAAGGAATCGGTGAATGGAGATGCAGACCGGAGCTGGCCCCAGGCAGAGGGCAAGTCCGAGGGAGGAGGGGAGTGAGCGGATCAGGAGCACAGTCAGCCTCAGAGAGGCTAAGGGGGTTCTCATCTGTAAAGGAGGATGACGCGCCCGTGTTCTCGGCTATCAGAATGAAACGAGAAACGGCACACGGAGGTGGTCTGCGTTCTCTAAAGAGCAACACAGTGTGAAGGATGGTCTTATTCATGCTGGACTGCGGAGGTGAGGAAGCGGAGAGAGGCGCTCAGTGCCTCTTTGGTGTGAGTAAGGCAGCTGTGAGTGGCCTGGTGCC